AAGTTACAATGACATGGTGCACGTGCAATGGTGTTAACATATCCAATAATATAAAACTGACTTTTGGTCTGTACAAAGTAACTTGTCTTGGCTGTGTTTTAGTAGATTAGTATTTTGTAAAATACAGTCAAATTTCAATTGTTATACATTATATATATATATATACATTAAGACTATTTACAAATAAGTTATTAAACTCATTTTTCTTAAAACATAGAACAGTAAATAAAAGAATAAAGCAAACAATTATATCTTCAAGTTATGACCTTTGTACTCGGTTGCCATTAGGGGGACATTCTGTGCTTTTGATTCGTTATTCACATGTCATAAACAGAAGTGTATATAAGGGAGTATTTTCAAAAATGAAAAGAGGTGAGCTGGGCCACTGCATTTGATTCAGTACATGAGTGATATATCAGAAAATAGAAAAGATGGGAGGTTCTTATTTTATATTCTAGCTTGTCAGTATCATTAATTTGAGTTCCTAATTCGTACAAACTATAGACTTTGTATTTTTACACCATAAACATATAATCTGAACCAATGCTGCACTCAACATACCACGTGACCCACAAAAATTGATGTTTAGGTGTGTGTTTTTTAATATTTACTCTTAAATTAAGAAATTAAATAATGTATAATACTAAAATTTGAATTATAATCTACAGTTTGATACTAAACTTATTGACATAAATTCATACAGTAGTAGTTCAATCAAATTTTGAATGCGAGTCAACAAATGAGATGACATGACTTTTGACCCGTGTGGAAAGGGATATACATATTTGAATCTTTTAAAACAATAAAAATTCAAGATTTTTGTGATGGACAAGGTAGAAAGTGACCTAAAATATGTTTTCAAAATATACCAATGAAACATTAGCTTCTCAATACTGAAGTAAACCAGTGATCCTTGGTTCAAACCCTGGTCTGGGCTGCTTGTGCCTATGGTTTACATTCCATTATTCCTTGTCATTTCTCCTTCATTTATTAACTTTAAAAATCAGCTTCTCAGTACTGAAGTAAACCAATGATCCTTGATTCATACCCTGGTCTGGGCTGCTTGGGCCTATGGTTTACATTCCATTATTCCTTATCATTTCTCCTTTGTTTATTAACTTTAAAAATCAGCTTCTCAATACTGAAGTAAACCAGTGATCCTTGGTTCAAACCCTGGTTTGGGCTGCTTGGGCCTATGGTTTACATTCCATTATTCCTTATCATTTCTCCTTTGTTTATTAACTTTAAAAATCAGCTTCTTAATACTGAAGTAAACCAGTGATCCTTGGTTCAAACCCTGGTTTGGGCTGCTTGGGCCTATGGTTTACATTCCATTATTCCTTATCATTTCTCCTTTGTTTATTAACTTTAAAAATGTGCAGGAAATAATTTACTTGTGGCTTTGATTCTATCCAATATACTTTTTATAAGAAGGGGTTATAAGGAGGAGTTAAGAAAAAAACTTTTGTCTTAATGGTAAAAATATGAATAAGAAATTACCTGCACATGATACACAGGTGACAGATCTAATTTTACGCACTTGGTTTCTGTAACTGTTGTCTTCTCTGTCAGATTCCATTTTGAATCTGAAACTGGAGTTTTTGTTTCTTCACTCCTGGACAAAGCTGAAGTATTTGATGGTACGTTTCGCCTTATGCCAAATAAATTGATCAATAGTTCGAGCACCATTTTATATGAACCTGCAAGTACGCAAAGAAGAATAAAAAGTTGTGAAAAAACAAACAATAAAATATCAGAAATGACAAGGCAACCAAAGAACTGTGTCGGATATGGTCTTACTAATAAAGCATACACCCTGAATTTTAACTTAAAAATAGGAAAAAAATAATTATCTTCGAAAGTCGCTAATAACAATAAACTTCAATTTTCGAGATAACCTCACAAGATGATATTGGAGATTTATTTAAGTTGATTAAATTGTTAAAATAAAGTCAAGAGAAAGAAACAGAAAATTGAGAGAAGATTTAGAAGAATAAAACATAATATTTAAAAAGGGAATTAAGAACAAGTATAAATCTCATTGAAAATGAGATCCACGAAGCTACTGAGGATTTAGAGATGGATTAAGAACAGTTCGAAGAAGTGCAAAAGAAAATCAACAAAGTACAGAAAAAGACAAATTCAAAGAAGAAAAGAGATGATTGAGGCTGAATAAAACATTTAGAAAATGAACTGGTAAATACAAATATTAAACCAAACACACCTTTTTTCTTCGTCTGCCCAAGAATTACGACTTAAAACACCATGGAACAGAAGAACTTATTTACTCAACAAGTATTACTGCTCTGGTATCTGTTACCATAGGACCTTCCTGAATTAATCCAGCCACATTACTATGAAATCCAGTTCTAGATTTCAGCCCGCCAATTCCACACTGCCCAACTGAGAAACCAACAAACTATAATGGAAATATATCATGTGATGTACATCTGGCTGATTTTGAAATAATATCCAAGGTGAACTAGAAGAATAGTGAAGAAGCTGTTCATCTTGCTGCCCATTTATAAGACCTTAAACATTTGTGACAACATTAAGGGAGCTGTAACAACTATCAAACATTAGTAGCTGCGTTATTCAACAGGTTTGGAGTGACTGACACACTTAAAAAAAAAGTATCCAGAGCAAAGTTTTGGAACAGGGTATAGAGAAAAGGGCAGATCTTAGCTGAACTTGCAGAAGATTTGGGAAGGCTTGCCCAATTATTTTACTTCATGTTAAATGATAGTTTTGTTGGCATACGACAAACTTATAGATGACATAACAAACAAGAATGTGAGAATTATATTGAAGTAAAGTTGGTTTACATCTTTAAAGGAAACTCTCCAGTTGGTGACAGAAATAAAGTCCATTAAAGTCACAGATAAACAATTAAAGGCACCATCTAGAAATGACAGGATCATCAGATCACTAGTTATACAGAATGTAGGAAATAACCCACAATACAATAAATGTTCCAAATGTAACTTGGAATGATGGAAATAACCCAAAATACAATAAATGTTCCAAATGTGACTTGGAATGATGGAAATAACCCACAATACAATAAATGTTTCAAATGTGACTTGGAATGATGGAAATAACCCACAATACAATAAATGTTCCAAATGTAACCTGGAATGATGGAAATAACCCACAATACAATAAATGTTCCAAATGTAACTTGGAATGATGGAAATAACCCACAATACAATAAATGTTCCAAATGTAACTTGGAATGATTTATTGGCAAGAACTGCAGACAAATGCCTGTATGAGATAACTGCTTTCCCCAAAAGATACTGGAAAGAGGGAACTGTTATAATTGTAAGAAATATGGCTATTACAGCTGAGACTGTAAGACAATCAACAGTTATTATTAAGTCAAGGAGACTGAGCCCAACCAGATCAATGGAATTAGATTTATAAGGAAAGTTCTCCTGGGAATACTCCATCTGCCCCATATAAGATAAGAAGTTGAATATCTGAGGAAGAAAATCGTCCATCAGTCCCTGGGTTTATTAATAGAAAACCTTCCATTGTGTTGATCAACACTGGTTCTTTGGGTACAATATAGTTTGACTCAATATGATAACAAACGATGAATAATTCCCTCTAGAGATGAAGAAAGAAGAGGAAGTGATGTAGACACAAAAGGTCCTGCAAGAAGAAAATTACAAGTTACCCTTATTGCAGGAAACTTTTCTACATCTCATGATGCGTGGGTAGTTAATGTAGAGGAAGAGTGTATATTGAGAACTGACTTCATCCAGAAAGATGGATATGAAGTTAGGCTAGTTTCAAATATCTCCACAGTCTATAACCAGGTAATCCCTATGTACTACATGGCAGTTACTACACCAGAGGAAGAGTGTATATTGAGAACTGACTTCATGCAGAAAGATGGATATGAAGTTAGGCTAGTTTCAAATATCTCCACAGTCTATAACCAGGTAATCCCTATGTACTACATGGCAGTTACTACACCAGAGGATGAACTTCCAGTAACAACAGGGAGGGCAGTCATTGTATCACCAAGAAGTGAAATACTCATACTAGAAGCTATTAGCAATAATTATTCATCTAGTGACTGGATGATAGTGGAATCAAATACACTGGTATGTCCTGGGGAGTTGGTGGATGGAAGAGCTCACATGGACACTCAAAATATTTCATTCAACACTTTACCCAGGAAAGACGAAATTCAGCTTGTAATAAAATGAAAAAGGCACTATAATGTTAATGCTCATAATACCAGATTTTGTCAAGGTGGCATGGTAAGGCTGGACAACTCATATTCCAAGAAAGGATGAACTCCAAAGTTACTTATAATGATGTAGAGACATTGCGAAATAATGAGATATAGGAATACAGATATAAATACAAGCAAGCAGTTAGTTAGATGTAGAAATTACCAGTAATTCAGTGAAGTATTTAATTTCAGTTTGTTCTGTGATTGAGAAGTTAGTGATGTATTCAGATCTGTGTTATTCATCATGTATATTCAGTTACTAAATCATTTAGCCATTAGATTTAAACTGTACAAATAAATTTATTTGTACGTTAGTCCTAGTAGCAGTAGCGAGTAAATTTCTGTTGATGGTGGACTTAGGCCTACAACAGTACAAGATGTGTACAATTACAACTTACAAGTGATACCGATAGTAACCTATTAAAAAAAGTGTTAAGAAACTTAGAAAGTAAACTACGTTACGTGGACTGGACTTCGCATTATTTTCATCATATAATTTAAAATAATCTATCTAACGAAAAAATACATTGCAACAGTATTACTAATACTAATAGTATTATGAACGTGTTCAGAATCAGATATCGTTTATTTAACTTAACTGTTCCATATATGTGTTCAACATTGGTCTTAATTTATATTTAACAAAACATCTGTGCACGATAAATTACAATGAACTCCCTAATATATTGAATTTTCTTAAAATATATTCTTCTATAATTTATATCGTAAAATTTGTCATATATATACATAGTATTATTTTATATTATCATTATTGAATAGCCACACCGATCACCGTACTTTTAATTCACAAGTTCAATAGGTTTCGGAGTCAAAAGTGGAGATAATATAATTTTACTTTTTAATTTAACTTCTATTGTTCTAGGTTTCGTGCTTTAAAAAATATTTATGTTATATCTTAAATACTGTACAGTGGCGAATACTATAACTAGTAGTAGTAGTAGTAAGAAAGAAATATACCAAATAAACTAAAAATACCTTAATCCGCTGTTAGAAATGATTGGCTAGTTGTACTTGAACCTGTTGGGATTTGTCAAAGAAACCACAACAAAATCATGTAAAGAGGCGAAACTCTTACTGAAAAATATACATACTCAATATGTAATACTATTACAATTGCTAACTAGAACAAAAACCAAAACCAAAATCCACATCAAGCAGCACTCTCCAACTCTGAACAACATGCAGTCTTCATTTAAATTATACATT